TTTTTGGAGCTGAGAAGCCAAATCAGTCTTCCTTCCGGATTTTCTGTATGACCGACGAAAAAATTCTCGACCTTTGTTATATTTCATACTTAAAAAGTATATGCATAAGGAGCTTAACTTCATTAGTTGCCACGACAAAAAGCTTACGTTAGGTAACCTAACTAAAATGCCACCTTAATTAAAATATACTGAATAACTAAGAATTCTACAGAGTAAAGTTAAATTTTTACAGTTTTATCGTAAAATCTAATCAGGGGTTAAATTCGTTAATGCCGTGATAGAACAATGGCGAAACGATGTGTTTTTGAACTCCAGATGTGCTGTGTTCAGATCTGCTTCAGGAACAAACTTTGTCTTAACCGCGAATTTTCTTGAGCAACAAATTAGCCCCTCGTTGCTTCAGCTCAACTAGCCGAGAATCGGGTAGCAAATAGAAGACTGACGAATCACAGGGCAGCGCTGTATTTTGGTCTGGTTATGTAAGAATGGAAGAGGTGCACGGCAATGCAGTCTGACGCAAGCCCTATTTGGCTGCACTTTGCTTTGGCCCATCTAATTGCTGACTATCCAGTGCAATAATCTGCATAAGGAGCAATTCCGATTTACCGAAATGAATGAAACATTTTTACAAACATAAATTTACGAATGCCTACTGTGTCCTTGAAAGTGACATGTGCAACCTTCCGAAAAGTTTTCAACAGAAACAACATCGATTTTAGAAAATATGCGTAGATCGCGACATTTGGATAAATACTTTTCATTGATTATTTAAACCCATCATTGATAAATCGGGCGCAAGATAAACCATGATTATATATCTCAACTTGAACCACCACTCAGGTAGTTCAAAACTGATTAGTTTTGCCCCATTTGAATGATAAACCGTTAATAACATCTGGTTCGTGACTTGAATCAGGAGAGTCTCCAATATTAGTTAAGTTTTGTGAAGTGGTGGACAAATTAAACTCATGGACTGATTTATTTACCTATACTTGAGGTTGTACTATGTCCAGCGACCTTTACGCCTGTTACTTAGTTCGCTTGCTATGCTTAAAGTTTTCTAAAGCAAAGTAATTAGCATCAGTTTTCCGTTGCAGCAGATAGATCCTATCGACAATAACACGACGTTGTGAAACAGTTAAAAAAAGAATGAAAATTCCTCGAAAATGGCTCTGGAAGCATCCCATTATATTGTTCAATCAGAACCGTGCTGTTTGCATACAGATGAATTTGAGCGTATTTAAATTACGAAGGCTGCGACGGTTTAATTTGAGCAACGCAAAATTTCGGAGCGTAGAAAATCTGACTTTTATTTTGACATTCCTTTCTCCTGCTAACTTGGCACTGCTGAAAATTAAATGTTTAAAGTGATAGGTCTTCTAATTCCGTGGTTGGCAGCAGGAAAAAACAAAAATCGTTTTATTTACAATTCCGTCTCAGCCGAATTGCATCGGCCATCATCAGGGAAATTTTTGTACAATTAAATGCTATTCTTAACCATCAACTATAAGGATAAAATGACTGGCGATCCGTGTCTATGATCCGCAAGTTGTTTGGAAAGTACGCATTCTATAATGATTCATATTGTTAAGGTCGAAACGCGATTCAAGATAAACATTTCAAGCAGCTTCTGAACAGTTGTTCATTAGATTTACGTTTTAACCATTAACTAACAAAAGGCTTGTGGGGATTCGCCTAGAAGAGATATTAGCCACGCCATGCTATATGCGAAAACGGAAAATCCCGCAGCGTGGACTAACTTTATTCAGAGTTGATAAAATATAGAGGAACGACCATAACAGAAAGGTTAGATGCCTTCGAATATCAGTTATGAATCTGGAAAAAACTTCATGGTTCTGTACACACGAACTTTAAGGTACGACAGTATAATATTGTTCATAACTGTTTTAGTACAGTAAGGTAAAGTAAGAAATTAAGATACGTTAAGTTTCTTCATTCTGAGGTTCATTAGCCACTTCGGCATAATTAATCTTAATGTCAGTGATAACATCCAAGAAATTCTTTTCCACCGTCTGATAATGATATAATCCAGGTCATGATAAATATCCAATTTTAGAAAAAGGTTTTTAGTTTGGCTGAATAAAACAGTCTATAAGTGAATGGAAATATATTCAAAACTTTTCTGCCATGGACGCCGTTCATTAGCCGTACACGTTTTAGAGGACAATGCGAAATCTGGCAACAACTCGCCGAGGTAGACTTGCTTGCAACAAGGAATATGACCTTTCCGGCAGCAGTAAACATTGCGGATTTTGATTTGAAACACTACTGCCAATAATCAGATATCGCATATCTGGGCTACTCTGCATTTCAAACTTTGTTAGCCTTACATGACGATAACAATAACAGTACTGAGTTGCAATTTCAAGTAGATTTTATTTATTTCTGCAACGTCAGGTGCATAGCCGTAAACATGCTGCTTTAGCTCGTTCAGTTTAAACTGCATATGCGGTTCCAGCTTCGGTATCGACAACGGCCGGCCAACTGCCACATATCGATGGCTTGCCAAAAAAAACGAAAAATGAACTGACGAGCCCTTAATATGACTTGCGCCGTGAAGCAGTGAGAGAGCATACCTAATTCTGACAGCGGCTTCCATGTTCTCGGAGACAGTTTTAAACCAACAACGAACATCATTATTGCATTCATAAAGGTAAATACATATACATGTATGAATATGTTTGCTTTACTTGTCGGCAAGTAAAACATTTCCTTCTGAGCAAAGTGCACAATTCAGTTGTATCGTACTGCAATTTATCCGCCATACAATTTCAACAATTATTAACGTATAGGGCGCTATGCTAATGACTCGTTTCGCAGATTCTGCGCTGCAGTGCAGCCTTCGCGTAGCGTCATGCACTCTGTGGGTCATCGAACCGTCGGTGCTGTTATTCTTCTGCAGTAAGCCAATATGTGGTTTGCAAGCCTTTACCCTTCATTTCAACTTGACCCCGAAGGGACAGCTTGAAACTGCCCAGTTGGTCCAACAGCTCTTTCGTCTTCGCGCTGACATGGATCCTTAGGGCTAAAAGTATTAAAGAATCAACATATGCCTAACTGACGCGCAAAGACTTGAAACTCTTAACGCCATGAATATCTTAAGTGCAAACTCATACGATGTAGTCATCAGACGAACGTTCAACTTTGCTCTATCATCTCCGATGACAGCACCATTCAGTCAGATTTAAACAGAAGGATCTATCTCACTTTCCTACATTTATTAACCTGTCCAGTATTTGGAATGAACAAAGAGTAGTTCTTTCCACTTTTCATATATTCCTTGTCTCCGTCAGGTCAGTGTTGTTGTCCGCATGAAAACAGCTGCGCCAATGAAGAAAGAACGCCAGTTAACTGGCGTAACGCAGCGGTATTTTCGACCCATAATGAGGGTTAAATGGCAGGACTACATAAGGAAGGAGTCTATTTTTTGTCGGGTACATGTGACCTCAGTAGATGTGGAGAATAAAGAAAAGAGGTTGGCCTTGTTAGGCAAACTGAAACATGGCAGAGGCAAATCTGCTTTCGGCGATGAGTATTTCCTGTTGCAATGTAGCAACCGGTGCCTCACAGCGAAAGTGTTGTACAGCTGCGAATAGAACAAACCTCAAAAACCAGATACGTTCTGTTTATGCAAACGACTCAAAGCTATGATCGCGACAAACATACAAATGCACATTCACTAAGCAACAGAAAAGGACCTTACGCAAGCCATTCGACTCCATTCTACTGGCTGTATTAACGGTGTCGCCGAACAAACAGTAACGTGGCATCTTGACACCCACCACTCCGGCACATACTGGTCCAGAATGAATGCCAATGCGGAGCTTCAGCTGTTCGCCAGGTCTGTGCGCAATGGTAAATGAATTCACCGCCGTTAACAGTGCCAGAGACATTCGCGCCACCTCGCTGGCGTGCCTTATTCCATTTCTTCGAGGGAGGCCAGACACTACCATATAAGCATCACCGATAGTTTCAACCTAAAAAAAACTAACTGATGACATCATATCGTTCGACACCAGCTGTAATGATTAAAGAAAATTATGTTAAGGGGAATGCGGAACTATTAGGGGTAGTTTTATTCTACGTCAGTACTGAAAAATAAAAAATAAGATACAGTTAATTTACAACGTTTGTTGGACACAGTTTCGTGATTCGATGACTGGTTTTATTAACCACGTCGTCATGCAACAATTTGTAATACTTGTGGAAAAGGTTTTGATAACGATCTGCACCGAACCCTGATTTTCGCAGCAGTTGGTCACCAGATAAAACTTGTCAAAAGAAAACATTGCAGCTGGAATTCAGTGACTGCGCATTTAAAGAACCTCTCGGCAGCCGTAAGGGCAGACAGAAAATGCCATCTTTGCAGCATAACTCAAACGATTTGCTTTTGCTTCCTTTGCAGGGGAATTCCCTTTTGTGAAATTAGACAGCCGGCTATGCCAAAAGATAATTTTCGAACAGCGGCGTCAAAAACACAACTTGACGCAACAGATATCCGCCTTTCTTCATCAGCCATATTCCTGAAAGGAATGAGTCAAAGTTGACCATAGTCCATTTCATTTGTAAACGATTCCAAGTAGTCCTCGGGCACTTAAAAGTGTTCGTTCATCTTCATCTTCCATCGCCACTTCTCCTTTCGGGTCGCGGAGGCAGACGCTTCAGACAGTGCTTCCAACGTTCCCGATCTCGTGCCAGAGTCTGAACTTCGGCAAAAGACAAATGGAGTCTGGAACAAACTCCTTCCATACGTTTGCACCAGGTTAATTTCGGCCATCCCCTGGGCCTTTTGTCGGTCGGATTTACAAGGAACAGTCGCTTAACCTTCCTTTCTGGAGGCATTCGCAACACACGTCCAAGCCATCGAAGCTGTGACTTCTCAATCTCGAGAAGCAAAGCCTGTATTCCAAGGCTCTTCCGGATGTCACTATTCCGGAACATGTCGAGACGCGTAAGGCCAGCGACTGGTCTAAGAAAGCCCACTTCAGCAGCTTGTATCCGGGTTCGAAGTTTTTCAGTGATGGCCCACGATTCATGATCGTAGGTAAGTATGGGGATAAAGAAGGACTTGAATATTGAGAGCTTAGTTTTCACACTGAGCTCTGCATTAGTCACAGTGGGTCAGTTTACTTCACGCAGAACACCACTGGCTACTCAAATTCGCCGGTCGATCTCTTCCTCCAATTTTCCATCACTAGTAAATACAATTCCGAGGTACTTTAACTTCTCAACCTGCTCCACTGCTTCTCCGTTGATCTGAGGACAACGGGCATGAGAACGAGAAAGCACTAAGCTTTCCGTTTTAGATGCGTTTACACGCACGCCGGTCACGTCGCACTCGGCTGCGAACCTTTCTACGGAGAACTGAAGATCAGTTTCAGAAGATCCTAACAAAACAAGGTCGTCTGCAAACAGCAACCTTCTCAACTTCACATCTCCTGCACCGACAATCTCATTGCCTTGGCAGCTCCTGACTGTTCTATCCATGTACAACACAAACAGGATAGGAGATAGGACGTAGCTTTGGAGGACACCAGTGCGAACATTGTGGTTCAACCTAACGCCATTAACTCTGACGCAGCACCTGCTATCAGAATACAGTGATTGGATGGCCCTTAACAACTAGCCGTTTATCCCGTATGCATGAAGGCATGTCCACAGACTGTTCCGTAGGATCCGGTCATAGGTCCACAAAACACATGTACACCGGATGGGCGTACTTCCACGATTTCTCAACAATCTGGCGCAGGGCAAATATATGGTCAGAGGTGATTCGACCGGGCCCGAAGCCACACTGCTCTTCTTGAATCTTGACGTCAACTATTTCACGGCACCTCCTTTCTAATACCTTTGCGGCTGCTCTTCTTGAATCTTGACGTCAACTATTTCACGGCACCTCCTTTCTAACACCTTTGCGTAAACTTTATCTGGGAGGCTCAATAACGTTATGCCCCTATAATTGGAGCATTCCTTGTGGTCTCCCTTCTTGA